AAAAAATTTACTAGCCAATGGTGATTCAGTTGCCAAGGTGTCCGTTGAGGGTTGAGTGAAAATATTTGAACAGTAGAAAGTGTTACATTATTAATGTTTTTTTTTCCAATGAAAATGTAAATAATAATAATAACTATTATTATATTTTTTAAATATTAATATATATTTATATATATATATATGTGTGTGTGTGTGTGTATGGTATGCATGTATGTATGTATGTGTATATATATATATATAATACAATGACATATTCTTCAAACATTTCTCAATTAAATAGATATTAAGTAGAAATATCTTTTTCTAGTTTTTTTTAGTTTTTTTTTTATTTATAGGCGTTATTTATTTTATATGTAGGTAAATGGTCAGTATTTAAATAAATAGTTAATAGAAGTTAGTGTTTTTAAGCCATTCCTTCAGGAGGTTCACAGTAAATTAAAACTACTTAAATTACTGCTTTATATATAAAAAAAAAAAGCAAATATAAAGCATGGGACATTCACATAGATTTTCCCCCCAGTAAACATCCTTAAAACAATACATTTACTTTAGAAGAAATAAAGTCTTGTTTTCAGAGAAATCTAACACATTTATCATTTATCATTGTCATAAGTTTATTTTTCTTTTAACATTTGAATACTGCTGCTGTGAAATATTCATTGGCATTGAATTGAAAATATGATGGCAAATCTAGTATATAAAGCCAAAAGCTTTACTTTATTAGTTTTTCTATTTGTGGTTTCAGTCTCAGGAATTCTGCCAGTGTTGTTGAGAGATGCGTGCTTCTCTTTCATTGCTTTTGTCGCCACCTTTTGGTCACTGTGAAACTTACAGAAACTTTTCTTTCTTCTCAGGTCGCAATGAGCTTATTGCCAGATACATCAAGCTGAGAACAGGCAAAACCCGCACAAGAAAACAGGTATTTAATGCACTTCATATATATATATATATACTATTGATTGCACTAAATATTTGTTTGCATAACAACTTTAATAACAGTTTTCAGTTCAGTAGGTGAACTATTCCTGACTGTGTGCATGTGTATTTTTGTTAAACTATCTCAAAATTCTTCAGGTATCTAGTCACATACAGGTGTTAGCGCGGAAGAAAGTTCGAGAGTATCAAGCAGGTATAAAGGTAGGTTGGAAACGCGGATCTTTTCCCTCTTTGGTTACGGCTTCTCTCTCTTTCTCCTCCTCCTCCTTTTCTTTTTTTCCTCCTCTTTGGCTTTTCTGTTCTGCAGGTTTCTAGCCATTTGCAGGTTCTTGCCCGGAGAAAATCTCGCGAGATACAGTCAAAGCTGAAGGTATGCGCTTTCCTGCGGGTGGGGCGGGGCTTAACAGCATTTGCCTTTGCAAAAACCAATGAGAGATCGCTAGAAGTTCCAGTTATCTATTGGCTGAATAAAATCTCGATTTTATCTCAAATCAATATTTGGCACAAAAACAAAGTTGGAAGTGCTACGGAAAACTGTGTCATGTAGCGTAGTGCTTTGTGTTTGGCGCTGCTGATTGTCGTCGAGGCTGAAGGTGCATGAATGGCTGAGATCTTTGCCTATTGGCTTTCCTGAATCTCACTGTTTCTTCAACCTTCCTTTCCTTGCATCCAGACTCCATGTGTGTGCCACCAAGACTCAGTTTTGACTGGTAAAGTCTGTCTGAGAAACTGCTGGATGTCACAATACTGTAATGAGAATTAGCGTTCGACCAGTATGGGTTTTCAAATGCAGATTATTTTATGAGTCTGGCCGAGATGTAAACATATTTGTTGAAATTAAATTAAATCTTATTAATATTATCTGTCTCTGTGTGTGTGTGTGTGTGTGTGTGTGTGTGTGTGTGTGTGTG